TTTCTAAGTGAGGATATCTAGTTTCAGCATCTCCTAGAGTTTGGCTTACATAATAAACAGGGAATTGTGTACCTTGCTCTTCTCGAACTAGTACTCCACTTACCTCTATCTCGGACACTGCTAGATATAGGCAAAGTTTTTCATCTACCTTCGGGGTGTGAAGCAAAGGCGGGCTCAATAAGTATCGCTTTAATTCTTCCAAGGCTCGTTGGCATACCGGGGTCCATGCGAATTCCTTTTTCTTTTTGAGCAAGGAAAAGAAACGGTGACTTCGATCTGACGACCTCGAAATGAATCGACCACCCAAAGCAGTTATTCGCCTTGTTAGCCTTTGCATGCCCTTCACACTATCCACGATCGTGATATCCTCGATGGCCTTGATCTTATTGGGGTTAATTTCGATACCCCAATTCGACACCATGAAGTCGAGAAACTTACCCGAGCCGACTCCGAAGGCACATTTCTCCGAGTTAGCTTCATGTTGTATTTCCTCATGATTTCGAATATTTCCTGCAAATGAGCTAAATGCTCCTCTGCGCGCAGGGACTTAACCAACATATCATCAATATAAACTTCCATTATTTTACTTATTTGTTCTTCGAACATTTTGTTAACTAGGCGTTGGTATGTAGCTCCTGCATTTTTTAGCCCGAAGAGCATTACGTTGTAACAATAAGTTCCAAACTTAGTAATAAATGAAGTCTTTTCCTGGTCCTCCGGGTTCATCTGAATCTGATTGTACTCGGAGTAGGCATCGAGAAAAGTTAGGATCTCGTGGCCCGCCGTAGCATCGATCATACGATCGATGTTGGGCAGTGGGAAAGAATCTTTCGGACATGCTTTGTTCAAGTCCTTATAGTCTACACACATTCTATGTTTGTTTCCTTTTTTAGGAACTACAACTACATTAACTAACCATTCGGGGTATTTTACCTCCCCAAATAGACCCTATTTTAAGAAGTTTGGTTACCACGTCCTTTATGAACGCATGTTTCACCTCGGACTGGGGTCTCCTTCTTTGCTTCACCGGTTTGAACCTGGGGTCGATGCTTAGCCGATGTGTGGTGATTTTCGGTGGGATCCCTGTCATATCTAAATGGGACCAAGCAATACAATCCATATTATCAATAAGAAATTGAATGAGTTTTTCCCTGAGTTCGGGGGTTAATCCCGTCCCCAGGTATACCTTTCTCTCGGGCATGTATTCGATCAGTATGACGTGCTCCAGTTCCTCGACAGTTGATTTGGTTGCATCGGACTCTTCGGGAACGACGAAGGTTCGAGGAGTAAGGAAGTCCTGTTCTTCATCTTCAATTACATGTTGCTCCAATTCCGTCGAGGCTGGGGGCGGTGATTGCTATTTAGCCGCCAGCTTACCTTTGGTGCTCGATTTCTCCGAGGTCGAAGGCTCTGGTATCGGCACCACTTCCTCGACAGCAAACATCTCCTTTACAGCATGTTGCTCTCCGTAGACTGTTTTCACTCCTTCTTCTGTTGGGAACTTCATCATCTAGTGAAAAGTTGAAGGCACTGCCCTCATGTTGTGTATTCATGGTCTCCCGAAGAGTGCATCATACCTCATGTCGCCTTCGATGACATGGAACTTCGTGTCCTGTATGGTTCCGGCTATGTTTACTTGTAGGATTATCTCCCCCTTTGTTGTTTCACTTGCCATATTGAAGCCATTTAGGACCCGAGACGCAGGTACGATCTGATCTTGTAGGCCGAGTTGTTCCACATGTTTGCTGAGCTACCTGGATCCACTAAAACACGCTTAACTTGAATCTTATTTAAAAGAATAGAAATTACCAGGGCGTCGTTGTGTGGTTGGGATATGCCTTGTGCTTCCCCATCACAAAATGATAAGACGTCCTCGGGCATATAGCTCCGAGTCCATTTTTCTCTAGTGATCGATACCTTGGTGCGTTTGAACACAGGTCCTTGCGGGACGTCGACACCGCCAACGATCATGTGGATTACATGTTGTGGTTCTTCCTACTTATTTTTTCTTTCATCTCTCTCTCTGAAGTGGTTCTTAGCTCGATCACTTAGAAATTCTCGAAGATGACCCTCATTGAACAACCGAGCCACTTCTTCCCTTAGCTTCTGCAATCTTCTGTTCTATGACCATGTGTGCCATGATACTTGCACATCAGGTTTGGGTTCCTCTGAAAAGGATCGGTTTGTATAGGCCTGGGCCACTTGGTATCTTTGATTCTTCCAATAGCTGACACGATCCCTGATGCGTCTACACTGAAATTATACTCTGACAATCGAGGTGCCTCCGCAGGATTGGTGTGTTGATCGAACCCGCTCTTACTCATGAGTCCCCGTGAGCTCTGTCCTCGATCATTCCGAGGAGCGTTACAACCTGAAACATTGTTTCTCCGATCAACATACGGCTGATACCGTTCTTTGTTTGGCCTTGATTCCCTGTCTGTATCCCTCGGGGGCTTGGTTGCTGATCTATTAGGATGAACTGAAACCGAGGGGGCTCCCAACTGGTCGTTCTCGACCCTAATCTTCGATTGATAACGGTTATGCACATCTGACCATGTCACACCTGGATATTTGATCAAGTTCTACTTTAACTGCCGAGATGCAATCGAACTCCTTTCAATCAAACCTGCATAAAAGCTTGTACTGCCCAGTCATCCGAGACCGGTGGTAACTCCATCCGTTCCATCTGGAACCTGGACATGAACTCCCTCGACATCTCGTCGTTCCTTTATTTGTCTTGAAGACGTCTGATTTTCTTGTGGCCACCTTTATGGCCCCGGCGTGCGCTTTCACGAAGGCGTCTGCTAACATAGCAAATGAATCAATAGAGTTAGGAGGTAAGTTGTGATACCAAATCATAGCTCCTTTAGACAATGTTTTCTCCAAACTTTTTTAATAAGACTGATTCGATCTCATCGTCATTCAAGTCATTTCCTTTGATCCCGCAAGTGTATGAAGTAATATGTTCGTTAGGGTCGGTTGTCCCGTTATATTTGGGTATATCGCGCATGCAAAACTTTTTAGGGATGGGCATCGAATCCGCGCTCTGAGGGAATGGTTTTTGTATGAACTTTTTTGCATCTAAACCTTTCAAAACTGGAGGTGCCCCCGGTATCTGGTCAACACGGGAGTTATAAGTCTCCACCTTCTTATCATTGTCCTCAATCTTCTTTCCCCGAACTCGATCCTCTTGGTGAGCTCTTCGAGCATCCTCATAATAGTGGGATCAGTCCCCGAGTCATTTTTGTTCGACCTCTCCAGCGCTGGTTCAGCACGCATAGTGTTTTCTAGTTCAGCTACACTCGGAGTTTTATTCTGACTTTGAAGTTGAGCGATGCGATCTGGTGAGCTTGCAGCATCTTGAATATCACTTGGAGGCTGACTCCCCCATCTCCTATACCTGGTGTTCCTTGGCCCCCAAATCGGGCTTCCCTGCGTACACTCCCTCCGGGGTCTGCGCCTAAATCTGCATTTAAAGCAATGTGCGAACTAACGTCAACTGGTTCCATATCTGGCACTTCCCTAGGGTTTATTGGTGGTCACCGACCCCTGCATTGTTGTTTTTACCATGAAATCCAAGACCTTCGCTGTCATGAACAGGTGTATTTTGCGAGTTTGACATGTTTAATCCTGAGAATCAGAAAATCTTGACAAGAAAAAGTGTAAAATAACGTGTGTAACGAGAATCAGTAAAGAAATAATCATTATTATCTTTAGCCGCACGGTGGGCGCCAAACTGTTTACCTCAAAAATACGAGTAACAATTAAATTTGATTTGTGGTTTTAAAAATATGTGATTAAATTCAATACCAATTAATATTCAAGAAATATGAAGTAGAAATGAAAGAAATAAGTGAGTCAAACCAATGTTACTCAGCAATGGTGACCTCGAGCTTAGTGACCTCGAGATGAACTAAGAGCAATAAAGTAATAACAATAAATGTAAAGGACAATTCTGATAAACAGTAAGAGAGAAAAGTAGGATAGTATATTCTTGCAAATAATCAGATGATGTTACAAATGATTGGGGTCCCCTTTATATAATAGGGGAACCCTAAATAAGGTATATTTCTATTTACAGTAAGGAATATTTTTAATACAGCTGTCTAACCGCCTAGTACGGAATCGTGCAATCCTATTCCGGGATTTGCGCCATGATCTTGGGGACGTTGCAGGAATCTAACTCATTTTGTTACAAATCCATAACGGTACAATTTCGGGATCGAGCATACTTGACTTCGGTATTCCTCGCACTCCTAACTTCGGGCATTGCATTCCGACCTCGAATTCGGGTCTAGTCTATCGACCTCGAACTCGAGCTTACTTGAACTCGGAACTAAGGCGATCCCACGAGCCTGAGAAATCAGGCGTGCCTGATTTCGACCGTATACAGATACTTAAAAGCGCTTTCTGAAAAGTTTGGCCAAACACAAATTATTACTCAAAAGTGCTTTTCAGAGTGATTAGCCAAACACAAACTGCTTCTCTTCAAAAGTACTTCTCAAAATAAGCTGATTTCTCCAGCTTGGCCAAACAGGCTATAAGTGTCATGAATTTCTGAACTACTAATTTTAAAATTCAAGACATAGGTTTCGAACTTTTAGACACAATTTTCGAACTTTAGAACACGATATCCCAAAGTTTAAACATTGAGGTTTAAACTCTAGGACGTCATGTCCTGAAGTTTGAGCAAAATTATTTAATCTTTAAATATGTTATAAATTATAAATATATTTTAAATAACATACTTAAAAGTGACTAGCCGGTGCCATTTCCGCAAATATATCACACCCTTCAATTGATCGTCTATGTTTGACTTCAAAGGTAAGTTTTCTGAAGAGACAAATAGGGGACCCATATATCCACCACCCCCCATCAGCAGTCCAACTACGATATCGTCATCAAACTCCAAATCAACGGCTATCGTAAAACCCTTTGAATATCAATCCACGGTCTAAATTCGCACATCGTTACACACGAAAACTGACCCTAGATTCCCCGTAGAATCTTTCTCCATTTAGCTCGTAAGCCGACTTCTCTCCACTTTCTCTCTCTTCCCCTTCCTTATTTTCTCTCTCTAAAAAACCATAGCCATACTAGAGGAAGGGGTAAATTTTGAAATATGAATGGAGATATGAACCAACAACAACAACAGCAATTGCAGCAACAGCAGCAGCAACAATGGCTGGCGATGCAGCAGTATCAGCAGCAATGGATGGCGATGCAGCAGCAGCAGTATTCACCAATGGTAATGCAGCAGCAGCAGCAACAGATGATGTACGGTCAACAATACATGCCGTACTACCATCAGAAGCAGCAGCAGCAGATTCAGATTCAGCAGGACGGCTCAAGCGAAGATAATAAGACGATCTGGATTGGTGATCTCCAGCACTGGATGGATGAAACTTATCTTCATTCTTGCTTCTCTCAATCTGGCGAGGTTTGCCTTCTCTCTCTCATTTGCTTATTTAGATTTTGTTAAGACTTATATACCTTTTGTGGAATGAAATTAACCTGAATAGAGCATGGATATAGGATTCATAAAGTGGATCCTGATTAGTTATGTATCGTTTCATAATGTATCGAGTATTGTATTGTATTGTACTGTATCGTTTTGATCTATACAATGTTTGGATAGATTGTATTGTTTTTCGTCCTTTCATATGTCATTAGTTTGAGATTGAGGATTCATAAAGTCTGCCATTAGTTTGAGATTGAGGTGTAGTTACTTTCATATTTCAAGGGGACTGGAATAGGGTGGGATGAACAAAGGATTCATAAAGTTGATCCTTACTAGGTCGAGAATTGAGATGTAGTATCTTACATATGAAGTGGACTTGGATAAAGTAGAATGAATAAGGATTCATTAGTCGTTACTGACTAGTTCTGGATTTCCACTTCCCCTATAGGTAAAACAGTGAATCTGGCTTTCGTAAGATACATAAAAGCAAAGAAAAAATAAAAAAATTTCAGTAGAAATTACCCCTTTAAATACAAACTTTTAACTAGTTATCATGACAATACAAGCATGGATTATGGTGTTAATCAGCTAGTGTGCGTGCTACTTAAGCACATGTCTGCGTCATGCTCTTGGTTGACCAACATCAACAACAACATCGTACCAATGTGATCCCACAAGTGGGGTCTGGGGAGGTTAGTGTGTATGTTGACCTTACCCCTATCTTGTGAAGGTAGAGAGGTTGTTTGCAATATGCTCTTGGTTGACCACATATCATAAAACATGCAGGTTATTTCTGTGAAGGTCATTCGAAATAAGCAGACTGGTCAGTCTGAGCGTTATGGATTTGTTGAGTTCAATACCCATGAAGCAGCAGAAAAAGTTCTACAGAGCTACAATGGCACTATGATGCCAAATGCAGAGCAACCCTTCCGCTTAAACTGGTCAGCTTTTAACGCTGGTGAAAAGCGTGCAGATGCTGGTGCTGGTTCTGGTTCTGACTTATCGATTTTTGTAGGAGATTTGGCTCCTGATGTTACTGACACAATGTTGCGTGACACATTCGCCAGTAGATATACATCTGTTAAAGGTGCAAAAGTAGTAATAGATTCAAACACGGGTCGTTCAAAAGGCTATGGCTTTGTTAGGTTTGGTGATGAAAATGAGAGGTCTCAGGCCATGACTGAAATGAATGGTATATATTGCTCTAGCAGGCCTATGCGTATTGGTGTTGCTACTCCAAAGAAACCATCAACACTGCAACAATATTCTTCACAAGGTATGAGATATTGTATCCTGTTTTACTGCAAGTCATTTACTACACTGAGTGTAGTGTATACTGAATCTGATTACCATATCTTTCTGTAGTTTATAGTCCCTCATTGAGCTGCTTTCAACAGGGTCATTCTTAATAATTTTGTTACTAAGTCGACATTTCTATGTCTTACTGTTCTTCAGTTGTAGTTCATATATCTCAGTTTTACTCGTTTACTTTTTTCTATTCACTCTGAAATTTTTCAACTTGAGTATTGATCAACGTAGCAGGACATTTAACTAGGCCAGATATTTCATACCAATGTGCCTGCAATTTATGTTTGCTGTCAAAAATTTGGATGTTATTCTTGTATTTTCTTCCCGAGGTGTTGAACTAGTGAAGCTCTTTCTCCAGCTGTGATATTAGCGGGAGGACATGCATCAAATGGTGCTGCAACCCAAACTTCCCACTCTGATAGTGATTTGTCAAACACAACAGTGGGTGCTTCTCCCTTTTGTCAAGATTGGTCCTAGCTAGTTACTCAATTAGCTCTCTAACTTTTGATCTACTGTAGGTTTTTGTTGGAGGACTTGACTCTGATGTTACCGACGATGAACTCAGGCAGTCATTTAACCAGTGTGGCAATGTGGTCTCTGTGAAAATACCAGCCGGAAAAGGATGTGGCTTTGTACAGTTTTCGGACAGGTAATGAGCGATATAGCTAAACGTGATGTTAGATAGTTCATGTTTAACTGAGGAAATTAGTATAATGTATGGCTGTATAAGGCAATGAGGAGAAGTGACTATCACGACTGAGGAATAATGGGGATAGATTGATGAAGTTCAAGAGTTATTTTTTTGGTACCTACTAAACTATCAATGAGTTAAAATGGTTGGAGCTTTTAGGTCAGTTATTAGTTTAGCATATTTGTTATTTGGTTTGGTTTTGTTTTGTTTGTGATACTAGAGAATCTGCAACCAGATTTATCAGGAGGAATGTACTGAACATAACAACTGATTTGAAAGAAAATGTTTTACCTGTTAACTAGCAACTGAATACCTGAGAAAGAAGAAAAGGTCCATGGACTCACTGATCTGCCAGGTTATAGGTTCACAGTTTGATGAAGAATTTTATCTTGGTTACTAAATGTGAATTTTATCTTTTGTGGTTGAATGAAAAGGAAAACATAGTTTTTGGATCCATAAGAACTCTTTCCTTGGGCAGAGTTTAAAACCTTGCGCCATGCTCTCGGGGATTTCTCGGTTATGAAAAAGATTTCTTTTTTGGTTATGAAACGGTCCTATAGTAGAATATATCACTATAGTAGAATATATCATTCATAACCTACTTGAAATCACTAATAGGTAATCATATTATCAAACCTAACCAACAGTAGTAAAATGAACTTGCTGCTTGAACTCACTGATAAACTGAAGCGGTTACACATGTATATATAGCACATTTTTGGTTATTACTATTGTTTCAGTGGATGTTTACTTGAAGCTTTCAATTGCTAAACGTTGCATAGCTTACTTGCCTCTTGTGTTCCATAGGAGTGAAGCAGAGGATGCGATACAAAAATTAAATGGAGCAGTTATCGGGAAGCAGACGGTTCGTCTTTCCTGGGGTCGAAATCCAGCAAACAAGCAGGTATTTACCAAAATGTTAAATGTGATTTCTGAAAAGCTTTTACTTCAAATATTAAGTATCTTGTGCCAACATCTGTTTCGTGGAGTCTGCATATTTGCTGTAAAGTTTTCAGAAGTTCTGTAGTTTGAGAAAAATGAGAAGAAGGGCAACAATGCTTCCCAGAAAATCCTACTAGTGTTCTGCTTTTGTATGCTGATGAAAGCCCCCTTGCACCGTGTATCTCTAATAAGCCACTTGCCAAGAAAGCAAAATGCTGAAAAGTTGACATATCTATGCTTTTTGTTCATGTGTGGTTCCCATAATATTTATTTACATACTCAGTTTGCAGAAATATGTAATCCAATTGATAACTATTGCAGCAACTACACATATTATTAGGCTGATGTTTCAATAGCCCTGGAACTTTAAGCAATTAAAAATTAATTTTCTGTGTTACCTTTCATTATTGATTACATTAGATGCTTTCTTCTACAATCTTTCTCACTGGTTCTGGAGGACCTTCTGTAAAATAACATACTTATTTATATTACTATAAGGGGTCGTGTGGTTGCATTACTAAGATGTGATAATACCTGTATTAAACTCTACATTAGTAATACGATGTCTGGTACCTTTTGAAACTTGCATAAGATTCAGCATTATATAATACTATATATTGTTTGGTTGGCTTTTTTGTTGCCTGCTGAACTAACACCACACCTGCATAAGTTATGCAGAAATCTATGTATTATTAATTTCTGCATTACAATCCCAGCATATGAATCCTTGCATTACTAATCCCTATATTTTAATTCATGCACTATTAATCTCTGCATAACTTGTCTCAAAACCAAGTTGGCCCCTTTCTTTTTCTAATTTTACCCACTATTATGTAATTGGAACTTTTAGAGCTTAAAAGTGACAATTAATGCATCTTAGCTCTTCACTAATAGTTGGCCTATATTTTTGGATTTTAGATTCCATGAAGGTTCTTCATAAAACATCTGTATATTCAACTTATATTTACTCTGTTTTTTGCAGTTGAGGACTGACTCTGGTAGTCAGTGGAATGGGAGTTATTATGGAAGGCAAAATTATGGGGGGTACGGATATGGTGCATCGCAAAGTCAAGATTCTAGCATGTATGCTGCTGGAGCAACTTATGGGGCATCTTCTAATGGCTATGGCAATCACCAGCAGCCAGTTAGCTAGCTGAACTATAGTCTGAGTGTGCTATCTATTTAGTTAGAGTTTGGCCAACTTTTTATTTTCTTATAACTTTTATTTCTGGTGTGTTATTTGAATTGATTTACAGGTTATAGTGTTTGATGAGGATTTGTAGCTGTATTGCCTTTATGGTTTGATGAGTGGTGAACTTATTCGTCACCTGTTTCTCTTTCCTTCTCTCTTATGTGTCTCTGTTCACATTTTATCTTTAATTGGCTTCACAAAATTTACAGCAAACAATGAATAATGGCAAACACAAATTTTAACACGCAGGTGGCTTTTGTTTTGAAAATAAGTTGAATTTTTTTTTTCAGGTGTTGGAAGTTATGTTATTAATGCCTTTGCCATGGATATTGAACTCAAGCTGCAATTCTCTTTTTTTGTAAGAGGGATTAAGGCCAATGTATGAATACACCAATGACCTCCCTGAACACGACTAAGTCGTTCCATCTCTGTTTTTTTTTTCTTTTTCTAAATTGAATTAAAAAATGATTTTTTAAAGTCCTGGCGGTAGTTTGAGCTTAGTATAATGACACTTATCATTGAAGAAGATGATTCCTTAGAAAATTTACTGAGGAGAATTCCTTACATGGTAAATGGTAAGATAAAATCTTTTTCATATGGACTTTGGTGGGTTATAGTTGTCTTTAGTTGGAGAGAACAAACTTTAGAGGCAATACACCATAATTAGGAAGAATTATGGTCCAACTAAAACTAGAAAATTTCTGTTAAATCCAAAAGGAAAATTAAGCAAACAGCTTTACCAAACTATCCAGACGGTTGATTCCATTTACCAAACTGTATATAGTTCTAGACATTTATCTGAAGTATTGTTCTTGTTAATTGTTCTTATGAATTTGTTAATTCTTACATATTTTATACTTGGTTTCTTCGACTATAAATATTTTTATGAGATTTTCAGTGTACGTATTTTCAGAATCTACGTAGATATAGTTATATTTGACAAAAACAAGCAACTCGAGGAGAATAAGAAAATACTAACCAAAATAGTAAGTAGTTACTTTTATATGACTAGCCTGAGTATCTCTTTTGTAAATTATAACCGGTTGTTAATTATAACAGACAGGATAATGAAATTGCTTAGTATTAACCAGATGTCAGACAGGATAATGAAATTGCTTAGTATTAACCAAATGTGTTTGGTCAAAGCGAGCTTCTAGATCTCAGCCTTTATCTCGACCTTTGCAAGGTAGGGATACACACTACCCTTCATAAACTCCAGTTATGCGATTACACTGGGTTTGTTGTTGTATGAAAGCACAACAAGATTTACATAACATCCTGGATACCAAGAAACTAATACCAGCATATTTCACAGGTCGTCGCTCACCTCCAAACACAAAAAGGATATAAATGAGAAAGAAAAGGCTCGAGTTTAAACAGAATTCACATTTATTCTCTGGTTTACAACACAGCACAGTTCCATGTCTTTATTCTCTAGCACCATCTACATTGAGATGGGGGTGGGGTCGAACTACAAGCCCTTTATTTGAGTTGCATAATCCAAGATTTGATGGAAATGGTAATTGCTGCTACTAAGACTTAAAAGTAAGCTTGCAAAACAAGATCTTCCAAGTAAAAAGTAAGCTTTTCTCCAAGCCCAGCGTTACGAAACAGCTAGCCACTGCTCTCTTTTCAGTTGCGATTCTAAGTCCGTTAAATGATTGATTAGCATGCAGCTTTTCAGTTGGAAAAAACTGCAGGCAAATTGTTGGGATACAGGATACTGGTTGTACTTAATCAAAGTTGTCGATGTGCACGGGAGTAATGTCATCAGCCACTGCAAAATGTCCAACTGTTCGAGCAAAGAACAGCATTTGTTGCTCAAGAGTGAATTTTATGCTCTCCGCCTGTGAAAAATCTTGTTGGTTAGGAACTCTCAGAATTCCATGCTTTAATTTGAGCATGATAACTCAGACAGCACTCATACTTTAATTAAAAAGTAGCCTCATAAAATGTTATATCAGTATGGAGAAATGGTAGGAGGTAAACAGTAAATAAACGCCCTAGACGTAATCTATATCATGTGATACTTAGTTCTAACCTTCCGAAATCCATGAGATTCTCCTTCATATTCCACGTGAGCTACAGGTAACCCCTTTTTCTTCAAGGCCTGGTAGATTTTTCGAGCCTGCTCTGGCTGGACAACCTGTTTAACAAATATTTCTGTTTTCCTTACAAGGAACTTACATAATTGTAAAGTTGCTCACAAGATACTAGCTTTTCATCGCAAAATGAAAACTGAAAGCTTTTAGGCTCTGTTGAGATACAAAATGTAACAACGGGGTTCGATTTTCTTTCTTGAAAGGAGTCAGTTTCCCACCAAGCCTTGACTTACCCAACAATGGCAGTTTCCTACTGTTAATAATGCAGAGAAAAATGGAAAGAAAAGCACAAGTAGCAGCAGCATACCGTGTCTTCTAATCCTTGGAACAATATAATGGGGCAAGAGAAATGATCAACAAAGTTGATAGGGGACCGCTCATATAAAGCAGTTTCGTTACCTGTATCAGGAAAAGAAAGTTAAATTGCGCCCCAACATAGATGTAACTATTTAGTAAGTTGTGAATCCGCGTCAAATAATTACCAGCAAGATTAAGGATATAATGGGATTCAAATTTGTGCATCTTATCACTCAATGACTTCAAATCAGCAATCTGTTAAAACAGCAGAAAACATGTTACCTCATGACGGATTCAATCAAAACCTGTTCAC